ATGAATTTTCGTATCGAAAATGCCCATTCTCAGACCAACATTTACCCAGAAAGCAAAAAGGATTAGTGAATCAGTGCTCGGAATAAATTTAAAAACAATTTTTAAGAATCYCTGTTGAGTGAGGGTTTTTGCTCGCTTATTTCACGATTTACTTGACCGTTCAACATAAACGTTGATCAGACAGACAAAAGTACCCTTTTCCTGTTYTTAGTAGATATTTCYGTCTAGTAGAAAACTGAAGTTTTCCATCTGGATCAACTTTGGTGRGTTTTTGAAGACGCACGTTTTCGCATTGTGTAGTGGAACTAATAATTTTTTACATAATGTTTTGTGGCATTTTGGGCGTTTGTCGCTGACTACYAATCAAGTTGATTTAACCATTTTTTTTAACATTCATAATTGCCAAAATACCTAAATTCTTCTAAAAACATTAACTTTTAATTACACAGAGTTCGGTTTAAGAACCGCAGATTAAAGTGGACGTTTCATAATACACATTTTTGTAACAACTTCTTGAGTGAATCTCTCACCAAGATAATCAGTTACTTTCAACACTTCTTTCACCTTCTATAGTTAACTGAAAGTTCAACTAATTTTCATCTTTTCTGTGTCTATTTAATGTTTCTTTACCATTTTATTCTTTGTACATACTCGTCCATTTCCTCTATTTGCTTTTTTACATTGAAATACACCGGCTGTGATCACTTGCCATACCTCTGAAGATTCTGGTAATTAAAATTTCGATTCTGAAAAGTTTGGGCAATTCTGCATAATTTTTGCTAATCTTACAAATATATTCGGTTTTTTCACCGCCAACGATAAGAATTTATTTCCGAAAATTTTTCCGAAAGTTTCGCTGCACGGTATGTTTTGCACTGAAGATGAAAGCTAATGAAGATACAATTGCAAAATTCACTTTTTTTTTACTTTTTTCCGAAATTTCATAGCTTCCATCTAATTGCAATGTTTTAATCGAAACGTCTAAAAAAAATATAGAGATTTTTACAAAAAAAACGCCGAAACCTCAGTGTTTTATTAATCCAATCTTGAAATTGCGTAACAATTTTGTGCTTTTGTATTAAAAATAAAATCTCTTCTCATTGAATAATTGAATATTAAAAAAACTGCACAAAACACGAATAAACAGTCGTATTTATGAAGTATTCCAATTGTTTCCTTAAACACTTCATAAAGATTAGTAACTTTCGATTGTTCATTTGAATTTCCACACTTTTTAAAAATTGTTTTTGGGGTTCGTTGTTTAAATACAGTTAAAAAATAGCTTTTTCCCTACTTTCACTTGCGGAATGTAAAGATGGGCACCGAATATTAAACATAAAAAATCATTACTACTAATCAACTTTAAAATGTACATTTAAGCTACCAAAAAAACAAAATTCGCTTTTCGTAATTTTTGAAGAGCTGTTATTGATTGAAAGGGGAATATTTTTTTGGAATGGTTGCTGAAAAATGGGTATATGTTGGGTTTATGTTAGGAGTTATGAATTTTCCAATCGTACATGCCCATTCTCAGACATGCATGAATTTTCGTATCGAAAATGCCCATTCTCAGACCAACATTTACCCAGAAAGCAAAAAGGATTAGTGAATCAGCTTACAAAAAATCAGCTGATTCCAGCCGCCTCAAGAATCATTCTCCCGATATCAAAAAAATGTGTAGAGAAGCCGGACATTTTGCTCAATAAAAGTTAGATCAGAGTCTTCTTTTGAGCCAAAGAATCTGGCACTACTGTTTTAATCATGTGCTCAAGAGACACGCTGTATATTTTTTAAACGTTTCTGTTGTTTTTTGCAGGTGGTTGAAATCTTGGTAGCCCGATTAATCACAGGTGTGGGAATCGGAGGTGCTTTCACGGTCCTCCCAATTTATGTAGGCGAAATGTCCTTAGACGAACATCGAGGCGCTTTAGGTTCCGGCATGAACTGCTTCATTTGCTTCGGTCTAATCTTCACCTACGTAGTTGGTTACTACATCAGCAGTGTGATGATTTTCAATATCCTGCTGGCATGTTTAGCCGCAGGATACTTCGTTATTTTCGCGTTAATTGGAACAGAAACGCCCCATTATTATGTCCAAAAGAACAAGCACGATTTGGCAAAAGCCGCCTTGCTTAGGATCAGAGACACTCCTGAGGACGTGACTGAGAAGGAGCTGGAGCTGATCAAGAGCGAAATTGAAAAAGAAGAACAAGGAAGCATTGTGGATATATTTAGGTCGAAAGGCACGACGAAGGCTTTTATTATCGGGAGCGGTTTGGTGTTCTTCCAGCAAGCTTCCGGAATTAATGCTGTGCTGTTTTTTGCGCAACAAATTTTCCAAGACGCCGGAACCACGCTGGCTCCTGCATATTGTTCCATGATAATTGGTGGAGTTCAATTTGGGACCAGTTTTGTCACTCCTCTAGTCTCGAACATGTTCGGCCGCAAAGTTTTACTTATCGGATCTGCCATCGGCATGGCTCTTAGCGAAAGCATTCTCGGCATCTACGACATCATCAGGGCAGCAGACGAAGACAAAGTCAGTTCACTCAGCTTCCTACCAATCGTGTCTCTGGTTCTATATATTATTACGTATAACGTTGGATTTGGTCCTTTGCCATGGGCAGTTATTGGCGAAATATTTCCCAACAGCATCAAATCTTCAGCCAGCGCTTTGGCGACTTCAGTTTGCTGGCTCACCAGCTTCATAATCACCAAATGGTTTTCACAAGTGGCAGAGGCTATTGGACAAGGGCAATGTTTCCTCGGATTCGCCGGATTTTCCCTACTGGCTGCAGTGTTTGTTTTCTTCGTGGTGTTGGAAACAAAAGACAAAACCTTAGCAGAAATTCAGGTTGATTTGAATAAGTAACTGCGATTTTTTATATAGTTAATATGATGTGAGGTTTTTATTTCATCAAAGAACACTCAACAGCATTCTCCTATTCAACGGAAATTTGCGCTTGCTTCAGTTTCACTGCAAGCCACTGCTCGTTTTTACGCGCCGATTATTCATATTAATTATGCATTGTTAACAGGATTAAGGGATTCGCTGCACAAACTTGTTAAAATTGTACATATTAGACTTTTTGAGTAATAAAATTGATTATTTATTGTTTCATTCATGTTTCCCGTTTTGAAGCAAAATTTATTTAGAATCTTCTTTGAACACACAATTATTGTGCCATTACCTTACGATATCAATTTTAGCAACTATGGCCATAACAATTCTTAAACGAGTAGATTTTCAAAAAAATGTTTTGCAAAAATTAGGCTAAGGTGAAAACTGTTGGTCCGTTAAAACGAGAAAACTTCGCTAAAGAAAAAACTAGGAAGTTTCATTTATGATATTGACAAGCTTTTGAAGCCACACTCGTCATGCTCCACAACGCTTCTCTTAGATGCGGAGGTATTTCTGAAAATTTTATTTTAGAAAATCTAGGCTAGACTGAAATGCAGTGGTTGCTCCATTAGAAACAAAAAACTTCGCTTTTAATGCCCAGATAGTTGCAGTTTTTGCCAAAAGTTTGGGGAATATTGGCAGGCTTCTGAAGCGCGCCTTACTATGCGTCCCAACCACTTTCTTTCATGCGTAGTTTCTTTTTAAAAAAATATTTTGCATAAACTACGCAGTTCTGAATAGTGCTTGTGAGTTCGTTGAAAAGAGAAAACTTCGCTTTCAGTGCATGGAAAGTTTAATTTTTGAGAAAATTTCTGGGAAAGACTGGAAGGTTTTTGAAGCGACATATGCCATGCGTTCCAACAACTTTTTTGAATGCGGTTGTTTTTCATAAAATACTTTGCAGAAGCCAGGCTAGACAAAAAAGTGCTTGTCAGTCCACTTGAAAAGGAAAACTTCGCCTTTCAGGTACGGGAAGTTCCATGTTTCCGAAAAAATCTGGACAAAATTGGCAGTTTCTTAAAGCGTCATGCATCCCAACAAGTTTCCTAGAAACAAACTTACTTTTAAAAAATTTATGTTGCAAAAACTAGGCCAGACTGAAGCGCGCTTGTCACTAGATTGAAAAGGGAAAACTTCGCTTTCAATGGGCAAAAAGTTTAATTTTTATGAAAAAATTAAGAAACAATTGAGAAATTTTTCATGTGTCCAAATAACTTTCTTATATGCCTAGGATTTCTTCAAAAAAATACTTTTCAAAAATTAAGACGACCGAAAAGTGCCCGTTGAAAAAACAAAACTTCGCGTTTAAGGCACAAAAAGTCCATGTTTGCGAAATTTGCCATGCGTCTCAACAAGTTTCCTAGAAGCGTACTTGCTTTTCAAAAATTTATTTTGCAAAAACTAGGTTACACTCAAAAGTCCTTGGTTCTTCATTGAAAACAGAAAACTTCGCTTTTAAGCCGCAATAAACTCCTTGCTCGGGAAAAAATCAGGAAATAATGTGCAGTCCCTTGAAGTGAGAGTTGTCAGGCGGT